GAGAGAGAGAGAGAGAGAGAGAGAGAGAGAGAGAGAGAGAGAGAGAGAGAGAGAGAGAGAGAGAGAGAGAGAGGATCTGCAGTAGATTCTTAGAAAGCTCTTTCACCTCGTCACAGAACTTGTGAGGAACATCAAAGACAGTTTTTCAAACAAAAGTTTTTTTTGTTTATGAATCTTTTACCAAACTGTTTATTATACTCGTATGGTTTTCTTGAAATCCTGCTTCTACAAAGCCCTTTTTCTTTAAATTTGTGAGAAGACCATACGCGCAAGGTAACGAGCAATATGCGAACAGCAATTATAAACCAAGTTGCGACACCTCACAGAAGACCAGACGTCAATGATCTCGAACTGAAAGCATAAATCAAAGCAAGAATCACAGCCAAAAGGAACGAGTTCAACGAGAAGAGCAATGACATCCGTTGATAATGAAAGCCTATCCAACCCAATGGCCAATGCGACAACAATGTAGCCCCCCTATAAGCGGCCTGTGGGCCGACGGTACCTCCTACAAATCCTACCGGACTATAGCCTACTCAAGTCAGCAACTGGTCCCCATGTCATCATCACAATGCCGCTTGAAGACTCTGATTGAACAGCCTGCCTTCACCAAAACCAGGGACGTGCCCATCAACACTGCCTCTCTTCCTTCTCTCACACACGCTTCGTCCTTTAGGGACCTCCGCTACTCCACGACTCGTCTCTGGTCTGGGCACTTTGGCTATGGCTGCCAGACCCTTTTCCTCCTCGCTGCCACCTTGCATCCTCCTCCGCTGGCTGTGTATGCCAAAAAAGCAGATGCTTGGGCATTGCTACCGCATGCTCCATGCCAGAATGGGTCGAAGGTTTGCTACCTCCAGCCTTTTAGACTCCGAGCAGCCTCTGGCCAGGCTGCACCCAGTCCTAGTTGCCTGTGTCCTGGGCCTTTTCCAGAATCTGCAGGGGGCCCTGTATTTCCGAGCATCCTCAACGAACTCATGGGCTGGGCTTTCTGGTTTGTTGAAGATGCTGCACACGTGCAGCAACAACCTGGGCCCCGTATTCTGCTCACGTTGGCCTGTAGCCAGGCCTGGCCTTATTTTGCAGGCCCCACTCCACCTTCAGGGCCTCCTTCTCCAGGCCTTCTCCAGGGTCCTGAATCCTCGCGTACGATTGTATTAATTCTAATGGAACAGAGGCTGGGGACCTCACAAATTTACCCGGACTGGGGCCATTGCGCAGCTCCGGCTGATTCTGGGAACCCGGCTGTTTGTTTGTTTGTTTGTTTGTTTGTTTGTTTGTTTCCTGAAATTTCCTCCCCCTTCTTTTGTCATCAGGCTGGTTGCCGATGTGGCTTGTGTGTGACCCAAGAATGGCCACAATTGAAGAGAAGAATCTTTTGTATGTCACTCCACCAAGGGTCAGACCTTGTTTCAACCAAGTGCTTTCTCTTGGACCCGTGATGATAGCACTAGCTACCTTCTTCACCCGAATAGAACGCCCAGTAATTATGGCTGCATCTGGACGGAAAGTTGCCCAAAATTCGTGCATAATGACTGCCCGGGCGTTTCTATTCGGGTGAAGATGGTTAGGCAGTGTGTCTTTGCCAGCCCACCTGTTAAACTGAAAGTATGGTTGGGGCATCTTTCTGTGAACCTCCGGCAGTTTTCTCCTTTGTGAGAATGGATTTAGCTCAGCCGCCTCAGGGCACGCAGGCCCGTACATCCAAAGCATCCTCCCTTCCCCCCCCCCCTCCTGGTTAACCTAACCATCGTCACAATGCACTGGTGCTTTAAAGTCTTACCTGATTTCAACCCTTGCAGAAGGAGGGGGGGTGTCTGCTGGAAACCTGCATATACCAAATTGTAATGGTTGGGGCATTCCTTTTTCTTTTTAAACCCTTTCTTTTTTGTTGGGGGGGGGGGGGGGGGGGGGGGGGGGGGGGGGGGGGGGGGGGGAGGATGGGCTTCAATCTATGGGTGGCGAGCTGGACCTGCTGGAAAACAGGTCCAGCATCCCAGTACTACATGAAGAAGCTGAGTCGTGCGAGATTGATACACAATGGTTGTTGGCACATGTGACATGTCCTTTTTGCTTTTCCCCCTTTTGTTCTTTTCTTTTTTTTCTCAAAAAGGGTTCATTGAATCTACTGATTCACTTGTTGTGTGGAAGCTTTCAGTGGTCCTGAGTAGAAGTTGTTGCGTGCTGATGAGAGTTGTATGGGTTCTTGGAGTCCTGACTTGGTTTTGGTTTAACCCCCTCTCTGTTCCCCCCTCCCCCTCTTCCTCTGCTGACTCTCCACCCCCCAACATGCAGATTAGGGGACAGGCTGTTCAGAACCCCAAGGAGCCAGGGAAGATCACTGTTAATTTTGGAGGTTTTCCGGGCGCGTACTGGCTAATCGCACTGGAAGGTGAGCCGGCGGAAGGATACGAAGTTGCGGTGATTTATGGATGCCAAGATCTTCCGCCGTTCCTCCAGAGTTTGCGCCGACAAGACGATAGTGTGTTTATAATCGCCA